GAAGCGATACTGCCTATTTTTCAGTCCATTTTAGCCTATTATTTTATCCATTTTATTCACTTTTCAGAGCATCATTTATGGCCAATTAACTGTACATTCTGTCACTTTCTGTGACAGAAAGTCTAGAACCAAATTCATGTATGTTTACTGCAGTCATTTGCAACCTTAATTCACTGCAGCTGTAATGAAGGCAAAAGTTGGTCCAGCACCATAATAATAACAAAATGTGTGCAGTGCCTGTAGTGTTTCCATTATTTTGTCCAACCCCTGCATATTATACACCACTTGTCAATAAATAAAGATTTCTGCTTATCATGCTATTTGGGGGGTTTATATGCATGCAAAATTAAGTGGTCCAAATTATACAGACTTCCCCTACCTACTGAATTTTTATTTGATTTATTGCTAATGTATGGTCCTCTGGAAGAGTAACCAGAATTGCTGCTACTAGATGCCATATATGACATGCTCTTGCATGCAAGCAGGTTTAGTGTGCAGACACTTAAAATGTACTGGGGTCCACCAGACCCCAACTTACCAAAAGTGTGACTATATTTACTTCCGAAACTTAGGTTCTTTTCATGTATATTCTATTAAAATATTGTCATGTGTTGGGTATGTAACGTGACAAATAACTTCACACCATTTTGGATCTAGCGAATTTATTCCACATTCGCTCTTACACTTATGCAATTTACAATTTCACAACTACTGCCATCTGCAGTATCACAATTACTTATCCTGCTGTAGTCACTTTCATGCACTCGATACAACTCAACTCGTAGCTGCTGGACTTCAATTCATACTGGATACCCAGAATACTAACTGACTTTGGCGGCTTCTACAATTCAACTTAACTCATAATACGTTCCAGTCTTCCTTATAAGCCCTCAGTCGGACAGCGGAAAACCCACCTCACTTCACTGTTGGGTAAATGTGTTTACAGGCGCTGCTGGGGAATGCTGCTGAGAGTTGTTTATTGCTGTATAGCAACCAGCTCGCTTTGGCCTGGCTTGGCTCACTTCGGCTCTACTCGGCACGGCACTGAGAAACATTGCTTTCCTTACTGTTGCGTAACTTGGCAACTGACAGTTTATCAAGGGTCAGTCTTCATGGTAACTCATTCCACCTCCCGTTGCCCAGCAACGGTTAGACATGTCACACTGCTCCCTTCTTAAGGCTGTTCATCCCAAATAGCCTAACAAGCATCACCAGTCCTTTCCTTCAGAGGCTATGCTTGCAACATTTTCTTTTTATCTGGCTCGGTGTTTCTCTTCTTCCAGTTATCCATTTTCCAACTGCTACATCCGCTCTCTCCCTAAGACCACCTCATCTCAAGTGGTTTCCTGCTAACATGCCAGGAGATCCAGTTGTATCACAATCGTCCCACACATCCATCCATTGCACATTCACTCTCACTGGGGAGGCCGGTACTTCTACGTTACTGGCTCCTCCTCTGCTTGAAGTCTCTTTTTTCGTTTTGGAGGGGTCAACCCCTCCACAATGTCCATTTTCTTATTTTTCGTAACAAGTTGGAAGTACCAACTATTTGTTTCACGATCTTACCTCTGAAAATCTCATTGACAGTCTTCTTGCTCACTTCTCCACTTCCCAGGTGTGATCGCTGTTCTGATCCACACCCTTCAACGTAGTTCACGGTTTTCCTCTTCTTTCTCATGTACATACAGCAGCCGCTTGCCGCCTCGGTCTTTTGCTCCTCTTTTTCCTTCATGGTGCGTCCGTAAATTCTTCCTAAGTGGCCCTACTCTCTGGGTTGCTCAATCAACCATGAGCCTGGTGCAGTTTCTCCCAACGATGTTTTCCTTCTGCCTTGCCACTTTCGCACGGTGTGTTGTCCCTCTGGGGGCGATGGCCAATTTCTTGTGGGGTCCACATTTTTTAGTGTCATATCCTTCAGTTCCTGGTGGCGGAGCTCCGCGGCCAGTTTTCGGTCCCTACGCCTTTTCTTCTTTGGTTCTCCAACCGGCATTACTTCGGCGTCTTCTATGGGAACCCCTCGTTGTTCTGGCGCCTCAGGTTTCCTGTCCACTGAGGTTGGCTCTTCTTCTCCTAGACATGCCTCCATCTCTTGGTAGGCCATCGTCTCTTTTCGGGTAATCAGCATCATTTCTTCAATTATCCTCTTTAGATTCTCTTGCTTCTGTTCCTGGCCAGTTTTTCTGTCAAGCTCTGCTTTTTCTTGGTAGGATTTCTTGTTGGCATCCATTCTTCCCAGCATTTCCTCTCTGTCAGTCTTCCTATTGGCCTCCATTTCTTCCTTGTCGGTTTTTCTGTCGGCCTTCAGTTCTTCCTTGTCGGCGTCCATTTTCGCCAGTCAGCATTGGAACAATTTTTCCATCTACATCATGTGGCAGTATAATTTGTTTCAATGGTTCGTCCTAAATTAAGGCGTGTTTAAGTTCGTAAATAATTCTGGCACCAAATTGTCACGTGTTGGGTATGTAACGCAACAAATAACTTCACGCCATTTTGGATCTAGCAAATTTATTCCACATTCACTCTTACACTTATACAATTTACAATTTCACAACTACTGCCATCTGCAGAATCACAATTACTTATCCTGCTGTAGTCACTTCCATACACTCGATACAACTCAACTCATAGCTGCTGGACTTCAATTTATACTGGATATCCTGAATACTAACTGGCTTCAGTGGCTCCTACAATTCAACTCAACTCCTTACGCATTCCAGTCTCCCTTTTAAACCCTCAGTCAGCCAGTGGAAAACCCACCTCGCTTCACTGTTGCGTAAACGCCAAGTTTACAGGCATTGCTGAGGAACGCTGCCGAGAGTTGTTTGTTGCTGTGTAGCAACCAGCTCGCTTCGGCCCGGTTTGACTCACTTTGGCTCTACTCGGCATGGCACTGAGAAACACCGCTTTCCTTATTATTGCATAACCTCATTTCCACTATTCCATAACTTGGCAACTGACCGTTTATGAAGGGTCTGTCTTCGTGGTAACTTGTTCCACCTCCTGTTGCCCAGTAACAGTTAGACATGTCACAATATTATCGTTACTGCTGTGTCATACAGTTTTACATCCCAAATATAAGCAAATATGTTTTTGTAAATATTTGGAGGGTATTTGAGAATAAGTTATTTACCAGATGAGTTACGAGCAGGAAGAACAGAGGTTACATCACCTTATAGATGACGCTTTGACAGACAAGGAGCCATTTAGCAGAGATGATAGTGAAATTGATTTAGAACTAGTCACTAACCATGAGTCTGATACAGAACAAGACTGTGAGGAAGAGTCCACAAAGGGAGCCTTTTACTTAGCAATGGATAAGCAAATAAGATGCAGTAAAAACAAGTTGGGATCTTGAATAAGAACACAATCACATAACATAGTTAGCGAAGCCCCTGGTGTTCTGGGTAATGCAAAAAATGTAAACTCAGTTTTAGATTACTGGGAGATATTTTTTCCTGATGACATGATAGACCTAATTTTGAAGAATATGAATTATGAAATAGAAAGAAAGCAAGTGAATTATGCCAAAAATAAAAACTGAATGAAGATCTTACAACAAATTGGCTCCAATTAGAGAAATCGTTTATATGTTCAACAAAGTATGTGAGCCTGTTTATTCTTTAGGAGAAAATGTAACGATTGGTGAAAAGTTAGAAGCGTTTCGTGGACATTGCAGTTTCCGGCAGTACATTCGATGAAAACTGGCAAAGTATGGCCTGAATGTATTTGCTTTGGTTGATGCCAAGTCCTTTTATACTTCTAAATTGGTAGTTTATGTTGGTGCACAATCTGAAGGCTCACACAAAGTTTAAATCACACCTTCTGAAGTTGTTACAAGGTTGACTGCACCTATATCTGGATCAGGGCACAATGTGACTTTAGATAATTGGTTCACAAGTTACCCATTTGCTAAATCCTTGTTAGAAGATCATAAGCTAACTATGGTGGGAACAATCAATAAAATATAGGAGAACTGTCACCTGACTTCATAAATACCAAGCAAAGAAGCCCAATGACTATCATTTTTGGTTTTCAACCCAATATCACCATAGCTTCATTTGTGCAAAAAAATCACGATTTCCACATTGCATTATGATGAAAATGTAGATGAGAGAACATTAATCTGGAAATAATTTAGTTTTACAACCAAGCCAAAGGCAGGGTTGATGTAGTTGGCAGAATGTCTGGGGTCTGTGGGACCCCACCTTACCACTTTTGTTACATTTTCCCTCCTCACCAGTGCCAGGTTAACACATTATGTTAAGTGTTAATTGAGTTTAAATCAAGTGACATTAATTATTTGAAACCTTTCAATCCCATGACAATGGCTGTACAATATGGCAATGCTACAAATTGTGCAAAGTTTTACATTGATGACAAACTGAGCAACACAGTGAAAAAACTTCGAAGACATCTAAAACATGTGGGGTGCAAAGTAAAAAGATAAGAACTGGTTTCAATACAAAAAAATCTATAATTAAAGTCAGAACTAAAACTAGAAATAATTCAGTTCAAATCTGAATTGATTATGTTACAATGCATACAATAATGCAAGATCGTACAGGTTGGGCTAATGGTAATGCTCTAGAACTCTATCGAGGAGGTGCTTGTTAGAATTTTGGCTGGGATACTGGCTATCCTACATGAGGCCATAACATCTTCCTTTCACTTCCCTTCCAGTTCATCATTCATGTATCATCTTATCATTTGATGCTATATAGCCTGGCTACTGATAGCGTCATATAAAGAACTAGATTAATAAGTAAAACTTCAGTCTATTGGTTTTCATTTTAATATCATCCCTCTACCCACTGACCACTTTGCATTCCAGTTCCTTTTGTATTGGCACATATTAATTCCTGGGTAAATGAACTGATATGTTCATGTATTTGCAGAATTACTTATAAAAATTTAGGCTGCCAAATCCCTGGTTACAAATGACATACATGTTAAATATTATTTCTACTATTAAATTTCATCTTAATTACTCACTTACATACCTGAATTTCTATGTGTCTTGGCTTATCAATGAATTTTTCAACAAGAATCCTGTCGTCTCCAAAACTTGAAGCAGCTTCTTGTGAAGCCAATCTGAAACCATCCCTGCAAAACATAAAATAAAGGTAGAATCAATACTTTGTGGTGAGCTCTCACTGTAACTGTTTTAATTTTTAAATTATTTTATTGAGTTTTTGAAGTAAGTAGCATATGATTTGATCCAACAACGTAATATTACTGAACAGAATATAAAATATTGGTACCTAACCAAGTGACTACTAACCGCTCATGCTCATGCTCATGGAGCTGAGATTATCTTGAGAAGTCGCCAATTGTGCAGCTACTCAAGAAATTACCAGCATTTTATAGAACCCGAAGGTTCATTACTGTGTTCACAACTGCCCTCCACTGGTCCCTATCCTGAGTCTGATCAATCCAATTCATATCATCCCATCCTATATATGATCCATTTTAATATTGTTCACCAATCTACATCTCGGTCTTCCCAGTGGTCTCCTTTCTTCTGGCTTTACCACCGATATCCTAATGCATTCTCTTGACTGATTGAGCACAGTGACTAAAGGCTTTTTCTTGTGCGGATCTGCGTGCTCCTCAATTTTAGCACAAAATAACGATTTATTTTCTCCAATATTAAAAATTAAGTGTTTATCTTATCAAATAAGTGGCTGATAGTGAACCTTATATTTTATTTTTCTATAGTGAACGTTTTCTTCCTTTGTTCTACATACTCTTGTACCACGCTTAGTTCCTAGGCCATTTTCAGCCATATTGTAAACATTTTGCAGCACTTTTTATATATCCAACGATTCAAAAACGACATCTTTTACTTACAGCTGTTGTAAGATTGAACAGTACTAATTTTAGAGTGGTGTTATTGTTATTTTGTGTCTTTATGTAGTCTGATTTGTATTTATGTAAGTGTGCTGGTAGGCCTAACCAAAAAAGTGGCGTTTGAAAATATAATTAATAGTATAGTCAAGTGCATCACGTTTTATAGCTTTTGATAAGATAGAATAATCAAGGTTCAGCGAAGTGTATTGTAATTTTATAACCGAAAGTGATTGATTTTGTATATTCTGTACGTGCCGGTAGGCCTAACCTACAAATAGAGTGTGAACGTGTATAAATCGTAATATAGTGAATTTTAGAGTGGACTGTAAGCTATTTGTACCAGCACCTAAGTATCTTGTAGGTCTTAGATACATAAAAATATTTGTTAGTTGTCCCTAAATTTTCAATTAGTACCAGGTTATAGACTGTGAGTGATAATAATTGGAATAAAAACTTCATGTAAACACAAAAGACAACTATATTTGGCCAGTAGGGACAGTAATGATCCAAGACTAAAAAGTCAATACAAAATGTACTGTAAAATTTTGTCAAAAGTCATTAAAGAAGCCAAACAGAATAACTATAACAGCCAAATTCTAAAATCAAACAATAAAATTAAAACCACCTGGGATACTGTGAAAGTTGAATCAGGAAAGAAATCTGTTAATGAAGACGTACAAAGTTTGAATATTGAAGGGAAGTCCACTAACAATCCACAAGCTATCACAAGTGCATTTAATGAATATTTCCTTTCATTAGCTGAGAAAACATATTCCAATAATAATAATAATAATAAT